TTTTATTATGGCCAAAAAATAAACCAGGAACTTTTATATTGAAATATTCCTTGTTTCACAATTCGTATTCTAGTTGAGTCATGTCGAGCAAGGTTGTGAATGAATGCGAAGCATTCAGCTCGTAGATCCGGAATGTATTTTTTTGTTCCATTCATTTCCTTTTTTCCTGATTGCCTTAAATCTCGTGTATGTGTGTGTGTGTGTGTGGCCTTGGTTTTGTGCCCTGCGGGCGTGAGGAAACAAGCTGTACTCGAATGCACGTCGTATCTCTTGGTATTGTGTTCACGTGAAGCTGGGGTGTGACTGACTGACTTGTTTCTTCTTTTTTTTTCTGCAATACGCATACGAAAGCATGTTTCAAGAGACCATGATTCATTTTGCCCTTGAAATATTTTTGAAATCGCAATAATAATTTTTGAGAGCAGCAAGGAATCCAAAAAAAAACAAAACTTGCGCTATAAATTTCAGCAACGCTCAGCCTCGAATGGGCTGCGAACTTTCTATCACGAGAAAGTCGCTAAATGAATTTCGTTTTAATGATGTCACAAAATTCTGCAAATCAACTCAATAATGTACAAATTAAAATTTCAGACTCCAGAGCAAGGTGGTACATTGGTAAATTCACACAATGCGGTTTTTCGGTTTGAAGGAGTTGCAAAACGAAGAGTTTCCGATTTAAATTTTGATTATTCACAATTTTTCGTTGTGGCTGAATTTTGCATTCAACAGCGCGGACGAACAGGAAAATACGGAAACAGAAGAAAAAACAATTTGATCATGATTAAATCAGAATCAAAATAACAAATTATGTGACATTCCCGAGCAGCAGATGAAATAAGTTTAATTTTGCGCTCGAAATGTACCGTGAACTTTCCTGAAATCTTAGTTTGAAATGTTTTTTTTTAATCGTTTGAATCCTGTTGAACCGCCATCTTGGAATTTATTACAGGACTTTTCCGAGTCGGTGTTGTAAAAATTGGGAATATGTTAACTCGCCAAAAATGAATTTTTTGGCCATCAAATTTTTTATGGATTATATTCCCGTTAGATTGTGACGTGGTTTTGGGGGAATGAATTTTTATCGTTCGGGCGTGGCTATTTTTTTATTTATTTTATTTTTTGGTCGTTCTTTAAGGAGGATTTTCGGTTTTGAATAACTGCTCCTGATGAATGCGAACGATGTACTGAATCGAATTCAGTACTGCCGTTTTCTATGCCCTGTAGTCTTTTTATATTTTTGAGATCATTCTGTTCACTGAGGCAAATGGGGAACAAGTCGGTCGGCTATTGTTTTTTTTTTAATTTCCTTGGGGATTTTTATTCAAGGAAAACTCGGTTCTGGCGAATTTTCCTGAAAATTTCGATTGTTTTGTCTGGCTCTCTGAAGCTGGAATTTTTTGGCAAAATATTTCGGTATTGACTTCTGTCCAAGTTTTTTTTATTCATTTGCCTGAGCGAAACTTTATTGGAAATTCAGTAATTGGTTACGTCTGTAGGTAAATTTGAATTGAATTATTTTATGTTTGTAATTGGTTCCGTGATGAGATAAAGGCAGTAATGAATAAAGGAAATATTTTTCCTTCCTAAGAGATTTATTTCCAATTTCATTTTGCGTTTGTCGTTGCAAAAATAAATGAATGAAACTGCGTCGCTTTAGTATTTCCGAAGAAGTTTCTTCAGGTGTGTATTCAGATACTGTATGCATATTCATTTTATCGTCAAGAGTTCTGCTCTCACACGTTATCTTATCTCTCTCTTGATTATTTATAGATCTTTCAAATTTCCACGGGGTGTCCAGAAAGTTCCGCATTTGGAATACGGTGGGTTTCATCACGACGAAGTGCTTTGAAATTCGTGTGAAGTGTTTTCAAAATAAATTTTAAGAAATCCCGTGGGCAAAAAAAAAGTTTGGGGGGGGGGGAATAAGTTGGCCTCATCACAGGAAAATCTCTTTACAACAAAATTATGGGACTTGATGAAACGTTTGTTTTACAGAAAAAATTTTTTTTTTGACGGAGTTCCCGAAATTAATGACTGACTAGAAACGATTTTCACATTTGGATTGCGGTTCTGAAATCAATTACTGTAGTTCTTGTTTTTCTGGCATTCTGTTTTTTTATTTATTTAAAAGATAAACCCAGTGATCTTCTGAAAAAAGTTTACTTTCAATCGAGACTTCTTCAGGAAATCCTTAACTCGAGAATCTTTTGAACGATTCTAAAAAAAAAATGTATACACTAGTATGGAATTGGGAAGTTTGTTATAAAAAAAATTCTGGTTAAAAGATTATGCCAACATTTACCCAATGAGTTGAGAAAAAGTGTGATATACTGCAAACAAATTGTAATGATTGTTGTAATGCATTTAAAAAAAACTGTATTTCACTTGATTTCTGAATCAGAATCCAACCAATCAGCCTGAATAAATTCTAAATACGCAGTGATTAAAATGCATTGACTCACTCCGGAAAGAATCGTTGTGGTCTTCCGTGTTCGTCTTTATTTAATAAATTGCGATTACAGTAATTTTCAAAATTTTTTTCCGTTTAATTCTGGTGCTGTTTTTTAATGAGCCCTTTTTTTCTTGCGAGACCTTGGAATTTGTGGACGACAAAAAGGTTTCTTCTTTTTATGATTGCACGCGTTATTTTTGATGGCCATTAACAGTGAAAAATTACTTTTAGGCATTAAAATGGTTTCAAGCGCTGGAAATCGTGCGAAAATTTTCGCCGTGTTTCGCGTGGCCACGAACAATACCGTAATGAGTGTAATTAAGGACCCGTGGCTGCTTTCACTTTGCCCTGTGTTTTGAAGTGCGACGATTTCCAGAGGCGAAGAAGTCCTTTGTTTCTCTCCCTCTTTATCTCTTTTATTTTTTTATTTTTTGAAAAAGGTGAACATCCATTGCTCCAAGTAAGTATATAGGAAATGTTTGAAAGTTTTCTATATCGTCCCCCCCTCGAGGCTTCGATCCAGGTTATTGATCAACCGGAACGGAATTTTACTCGAGATCGCTTTTGACACCGATTTCTTTCTCTCTGTTTTTATTTGATGGTTTTTTTTTGCGCTCGGTCGTTGTCGATGAGGCGATGGAAAAATATTTGCACAGGCGAAAGAATTCCCCGAGTGTCGCCGGCGTCGATAACAAGAGGACTACACACGCGAAGCAGCAACAGCAGCAGCAGCTGCAGCTGCCTAAACAGCTGACCTACACTAAAAATACGCTTAAGGCCTCTATCAACCGTGTCACACACAAACAGCACGAAAATAAAAACTCACTCACAGTGACGCATTTTGAAAGGTTATTCAGACTCGCATGTTTGTTTGATTGTGTGTGTGTGTTTTCTTTTTTTTGAAGGACGGTGATTCATGTGCAGTTGAATCCCGATTTAGTGCCAATCTGTCTCCATTGTGTTTTCTGAGGAAAACCTCAATTTTGTGCCAAATCACTTATTGCCACAACAAATTTCCTGTCTTGAATGAAAACAAAAATTGGTGAACATCAAGATAATTGAGGCATATTTCTAAGAATATTATTAGGTTATCACTTAGAGTTAGAATCACATGTCCATGCTCATGATAATTTTGAAACTTATGCAGTATGTCTTGATTTAAATTAGGTGGCATTATTTGAAAGGTATCTGCAGTGAAGAAAATCTCCATAACTGTGATAACCTTTTCCAGAAATTAATAATCATTTCACGTGATTTTTGAATTGTGCTCGGAATTGAATTGAAAGATTGATACAATACCGCAAAAACCAGTTCCACGCATTAACTTGAACCATTCTGTGTAAAAAAATTTATATATTTGAGAATGTTACATCAGTTTAAATTCAGTAAAAACAGTTCATTTGAGCTTCGAATTATTTCTGGTGGCTCTCTGTTTTATAAAACAGACCCAATGGCATAATAATTCTACAAACTAGCCTATTTTACCTTTATTATAAGCCCTCATCTTTCTCTGATGTAATGCCCCCAATTTAATGACATGCTTGGCTCAGTCCCACAAAATTGTGATTGGACAAATAATGGCAATAAACCAAGAAATGACTGAAAAAGCTTCATTTGCTGCTTTTTGCTGTTTGCAAAATTTTACAACATTCATCCAACACATTCTGGCTCATCAAAAACAATTCATTACTGTATATAGGTATGAAAAGGAAGTACAGTAAATGAGAGTTTGTGAAATGCAAAAATAGTGAATTTTCATAATGGTTTTTCCAAAAATAACAAGGATCTTAACACAAGACAAAGTAAAGCAAAAGGTTTTCAGCCTGTTCCCAGATAATTTTTCAATTGATGAGCCAATCTTTGAGGAGAAATCATATGAAGCTGACACATTTTCTGGTCCTTGAAGATCAGGAGGATTATCTTATTATTGAGTTGTGTGAATCAAAAGTCCTTTGAAAGCTCAATGCTTTTGGCGTGGAATCAGATGCATAAAAAAAAGAAAAATGTTTTGGTGATGCAATAATGAATATATTTTACATCGCAGTAATGACAGCAATTAGACATTCTCAACAGAATTTAATCGACTTTTTATCGAAATGCCGTCAGTTTTTTAAAAGTGCTGCAGTATTTTATTGCCTATCAAACGGATGAGAAACGGTTTCCAGTGATGGCGAAAGTAAAGAATGTTTGCGACAAATTTGCGTTAAAAAAATTGTTTGTGATGAATTTGCGTGAAAAAAAAGTGTTCGTGTGGGCGTGAAAAAGTTTGTTGCATTTCGGCTCGCTTTTCATTTGTTGATGCCAGTGTTTTGTAGTGAGCATTCTCTGAATTTCGGAGTGGAAATCTTTCGTTAAAAAGTGTAAAGAGAAAAATAAACAAACAGAAAGAGTTTGTCCAACAACCACCACCACCACCCTTCAGCCCTAAGTTTTTAGCAGCAAAGCCAACTCGAGCCAAAGAGTCGTTTTTTTATTTAATAAGCGCGCATTCGGGATTCACGTCGTCGTCGTCGTTTCCGTCGCGGATCGGCCGGAACGAGATTGACAGATGTCGAGAAGCGACGTCGGTGACGCTGACACTGTCGAGTGAGCGGGAATCTGACGACGTCATGAGTGAAACGAGTCCGGGCACGGAGTCCTGCAACTTTCCTCCAGGTGGCAATAGTGGACAACAACAACAACAACAACGACGACGACGACGACGACAAGGTTTATTGTCGGCGAGGAGCATGTTCGTGCTGGCCGCCGTCTTTTGCTCTGTCTCCTCTGGATGTGAGTGCTTCTTGATGAGACGGCCGTTTTTTCGGACGTCGTCGTCGGTGTTGAGAAATGTATTTTATGACAGTTGAACCTCGAGAAGTCGAATGCCTCCCGATGTGCAATTTTTTTTTTCAAGTCCCTGTCCGAAGTTCTTTTTGAAAAACTGTAATTTTTTACGTCCTTTGTCTTAATTAATTTTATGGAAACCGGAAAGAGAAAAACTGTAAAAAAATGTAACCGGATGCGTTTTGGAAATGAAGTGAACACGACTAATTTGGCAAGTGAACCCTTACTTCCAAGTTCAGCATTCTGTCAATTCATTTAAGGCGCAATTGAAGACCCCAAACAGCAATAAAATACGAGTCCTTTCAATTCTTTTTTCTTTCCCTCAGCAAAAGTGCTTTTTTCCCAAACTCGAATTTGTGTGCTGATCCCTTGAATTTTGTTTTGAAGACGTTCGACTAGTACTACAGTATATTCTTCATTCTACAAGCAGCAACGACACGAGACGTTTCCTCCTTTTTATCGATTGACCATGTGAATAATCACGGGATTTTTTTCAGCGAAATTTTGTAAAAAAAAATATTTTTCCGTATTGGAAAGTGTCCCTATATGGCGACAGTGTCTGGATGTCGGACAGATTTTTTATTTTTTACTTCGAAGTGTTCTCAAGTCGAATCGTCCGTATGTCGGGGCATCCGTATGTTGGGGTATCACTGTACCGTATTTAATATTTTTTTTTTGGTTTTTTTTCGCAGGCTGTGCTGAATTGGGCAACCGGAAGCTGCCGAAGAAGTTGGTCCTTCCGCCTGCACCTGACAAACAGCTGTCTGGAATCGAGGCATTGGCCGGCGTCGAGCTCATGTCGAGCACGACGTTCTTCTCGGAAAGTCCGTCGTTGCCGCCGATCTCGCCGACGTCGGCCGCCGCCGTGGTCATTTCCAGTGCGCCACTTTCAATGGGCGCCGATCATCATAATCATCGGCGCCAGAAGCGCGACTCTGCGGGGCTACGCGACGAGGAAGACGTGATGGCGCCGGTGTTTGTGCCGGTGGCGACGGCAACGGCGACGACGACGGATTCGTTTTTGACGCAGTTGTGGACGTCGACGGTGTCGAGACTGAGGTCGTGGAACGATGACGCGGGACTGGCGTCGGAATCCGTGCCGGTGTCGGAGGAGAACACGGTGGTCGTGGATGGGATTCGACCGACGAAACCCGTCGTGACGGCGGTTGTTGAGGATAAGGAGAAGGAGGAGGAGCAGCAGCAGAAGGCGGCCGAGTTCATCGTGCACTCTGATCTCAAAGGTTCTGTCTCATCCTGATTGTTTTCAATTATTTCTGTATTTTTTATTTTATTTTATTCTATTTTTGTCGATAGTTTTTTTTATTTATTTTTTATTCACGTGTTGGGTTTGCTCATTTTCATTACAGTATTTTTGGTTTCTTCTTCTGCCCCCCCCCCCCCCCTGTTTATTTGCTAATTTTCTTGCGTTTTCTTCTTCTTTTTTATCTAATCTTTCACTCTGATATTTTTTGCGCTCTCTTTTTTTCAAATCGATGATCGCCTAATTTTTCATTTCTTGTTTATTTTTGGCCTCTCGTGTGAATGATTTTTTATTTTTTATTTTGCTTCTGTTGAGAAAATGTGTCTTTCGACTGTACTTCTCTTGGAGATGGTTGTTTGATGTGCTGAGAAGTTTTTTTTTTTTTTTTTTTTTTTTTTTTTTTTTTTTTTTTTTTTGG